AAGACCCCGCCCCCAGGGCTGAAGCAGGAGAAGACCCCCACTCCCGCACTCCCAGGGGAGTCTGCCCACCTGGGCTGCCCCCAGGGCCGAGGTAGGGCACCCCCTACCTTGGGGGCCCAAGTGCCGACCTTGGGAAGGGGTAGGGCAGTGACCCCCCCCCCCACTTGGCCAAGAAGTTAGCGTGGAAAAAGAAATGTGGAACCAGCCCAACTTGCCCGAAGCCCTGCCTGGGGCACTCACCCCAAATCCCAGCTGCTCTGGGGCCTCTTGTCTCGAGGGGCTCCCCCTGCAGAGGGGCCAGAAAGGGGAGCTGGGGGCTGCGCCTGGCCGCTGCGGGAGGCCCTGGTGCACACACTCTGGGAGGCCGGTCTGCACTCCCCAGCGCCCCCTGCTGCCCCAGCCTGGTCCGCTGCCGGCGGGGGAGGGGGGAATTTAAAGGGCCCAGCTCCCTTCCCACGCAGCAGCCCAGAAGGGTGCGTGGAGAAGCGGTGGCTGGAACCAGCGCACGCCTTCCCTGTATGGCCTCAGCTGACGTGGGAAGCCGTCCAGCCCCCGCCGCTCCTGCACAGCAACACAGCTCCAGCTCTGCCCAGGAGACGAGGACACTGGGGGCCCACGGGCCGGCAGACCACGCTGACCGCTGCTCGAATTCGGACACAGCTCCACGGATGCTCTGCTAAGGCCTTGCCAATGCTTGTACACAAAAGGCAATGGAGGGCCGGTGCTGTAGCATAGCAGGTAAAGCCACCGCCTGTGACACCAGCATCCCACAGGCCGCCAGTTCAAGTCCCGGCTGCTCCACTTTGGATCCAGCTCTCTGCTGTGGCCTGGGAAAGCAGCAGAGGATGGCCCAAGTGCTTGGGCCCCTGCACCCACAGGGGAGACCCAGAAGAAGCTCCTGGCTTCAGCCTGGCCCAGCCCTGGCTGTTGTGGCCATCTGAGGAGTGAACCAGCGGATGGAAGACCTCTCTCTCTCTGTAACTCTGCCTTTCAAAAAATAAAAATAAATCTGTTTTAAAAGGCGCCTGGGGAGAAGCTGGCTGGGCGCTAAGTGCAGTTGTGAGTGTGGGAGACGGTCTTGGCATGGGCGTGGACAGCCGGGTCCACGGGCACCGGCTGGGAGCAGACTCCCGCCACCCGACTGTGAGAAGCCCCCACGCTGACCCAGCGCTAGAGGGTCCCCCGGGACCAGTTCAGGGCCAGCGCCTGGTCACCCCAGGACTGCCTGGCCACCTCTACCGCCCCATTAAACAAGGCCCTGGGGGACAGGAGTCGAAGGAGGTTTACTGAGATGCGGGCCCCTCCCTCCGGGGCCCCCGGCTTTCCAAGGCCTTCAGGGTCTGGGAATGACCGTGGCATTGGCAAACAAGACGAGTGCTCACCACTCCTACCAGAAGCCTCAAGCCGGGGGGCGGGGCTGGCCCACCCAGGGCTGTGTCGCTCAGGCCCCACCCACGGGCTCACCCAGAGGTGGGTCAAATATGTTTGAGAAAGAACTGCATCTATCAACACATGAAGGGGTCTTTCCTTGTTATTCCCAAGAGAATACAGGACGCCAGCCGTCCCCAGGGCGTTTCTACTGTATTACGGATTTTTTTCAATACCTGTTTTCATTTATCTGAAAGGCGAAGCGACAGAGAAGAGATCTTCCATCCGTGCCTCACTTCTCAGATGTTCACAACAGCCAGGGCTGGGCCAGGCCAGAGCCTGGAGCTTCTTCTGGGTCTCCCAAGTGGGTGCAGGGGCCCAAGCACTCGGGCCATCCTCCACTGCTTTCCCAGGTCACAGCAGAGAGCTAGACTGGAAGTGGAGCAGCCGGGACTCAAACCGGCACCATATGGGATACCGGTGCCACAGGCAGCAGTTTAACCTGCTAAGCCACAATGCCAGCCCCCTGAGACATAAGATTTATGTATTTGTTTATTTGAAAGGCAGAGTTACAGAGAGAGAGACAGAGAGAGAAGAATCTTCTATCCACTGGTTCACTCCCCAGATGGCTGCAATGGTCCAGGCTGGGCCAGGCTAAAGCCAGAAGCCAGACTCCATCCAGGTCTCCACATGGGTGGCAGGGACCTAAGCACTTGGGCCATCCTCCGCGGCCTTCCCGGAAGCATTAGCAGGGAGCTGGATCGGAAGTGGGGCAGCCGGGACTCCAACCGGCGCTCCTATGGGATGCCCACGCTGCAGGCTGCAGCTTAACCCACTGAGCCACAGCACCGCCACCTCTCCCCTCCCGCACACGCATCTGCTTCTCCATGTCTCCGTCTCTGGTCCCTCTTACAGAAGAGGTGGGTGCACGCAGGCCCCCACTCCGTCTCCCTCTTTCACATCACGGTACCCCCAGCACTAACTATAGGCTCATGGCAACCTGCCAACTCAGCCACTCGAGCGAGTACGGTCAGGTGCCACGGGAGGGCACCCCCAGCGAACCGCAGCGCAACGGTGGCCACGCAAGGTCATGTCCACGGAGCAGGACACTGAAGAGGCCTGCGTCCAGCCCAGAGTGCCTGCGTCCAATTCCAGCTTCCCCGTGCAGACCCTGGGAAGCAGCAGCGGCGGCCGGCCTGAGAGACCTGGACAGAGCTGTCCCAGCTCCTGGCTCTGGTCTCAGAGCGGCCCTGGCCACTGCAGGCAGCCGGGCAATGAACCAGCCGCTGAGAGCGCTCGCTCTCTCTCCCACCTGCTCGCTCGCTCTCTCCCTCCCACCTGCTCTCTCTCTCTCCCACCTGCTCGCTCTCTCTCCCTCCCACCTGCTCTCTCTCTCTCCCACCTGCTCGCTCTCTCTCCCTCCCACCTGCTCTCTCTCTCTCTCTCTTCCACCTGCTCTCTCTCTCCCACTTGCTCACGCGCTCTCTCTCTCTCTCTCCCACCTGCTCTCTCTCTCTCTCTCTTCCACCTGCTCATGCGCTCTCTCTCACTCTCCCACCTGCTTGCTCTCTCTGTCTCTCTCTCTCTTTCTCTCTCTCTCACTTTCTCTGCCTCTCAAAGAGTACATTGCCTGGTGCCGTCACAGCATCGTAATTCATGCAAGTACGCTCCATGGCACTCACCAGGGACGCAGCCACCTGGGAGCGAGTTTCCCGGAGCACAGCCCCGCCCTTACGGGGCGCGTGGTGCGATGAGATGCAGCTTCCCTGGCGTTAGCCCCATCTAGCGGGACAGTGCCCTCCCAAGTCCAGGCCCACACACGTCCTCGGCTTCCTGCTGCCACACAGGAGCAAAGTCTCGTGGGTCCTCCCGTGCTCCTCTAGGGGCTGGCGTGCACCTGGCCCCGGGGAGCAGGCTGGGCTGTGAGCCTCGCTGGCAGGTGCCGACGGGGCAGGGGGAGCACAGGGCTTTATTTATTTACTTTTTAAGATTTATTTTATTTATTTGAAAGACAGAGTTAGAGAGAGGTAGAGCCAGAGAGAGAGAGAGAGAGAGAGAGGTCCTCCATCCGCTCCCCAAATGGCCACAATAGCAGGAGCTGGGTTGATCCAAAGCCAGGAGCCAGGAGCTTCCTCCAGGTCTCCCATGTGGGTGCAGGGGCCCAAGCACTTGGGCCATCCTCTGCTGCTTTTCCAGGCCATAACAGAGAGCTGGATTAGAAATGGAGCAACCGGGACTCGAACCCGCGTCCATAAGGGATGCGGGTGCTACAGGCCGGGACTTTAACCTACTACGCCACAGCACCAGCCCCGCAGGGCTTTCTTACACACAGGAACTGAGTGTCCCCCGACAGCGGCGGGCTCGGGTCCCCCTGAGCTGCCTGGGCATTCCGACTCCTCCCATTCCACATGGGCCCTGTGGACCCCACGGGGCAGGACCCCCTTTGTTCCCAACCAACGCCCCAACTTTCACATGCAAAACTCGAGATGCCACCCCGCCAACAGCAGTACCCAGAGTGTGGTCTGGCAGTGACAGCTCCCGGGAGGCCTCGGCCCTCACAGCCCAGGCCTGGGGTCAGAGCTAAAGGCCTGAGCTTGCCCCATTCTCTCTCCGAGCTCCAGCGCCCGCCCCAGCCACACAGTCAAGAGCAGCGTCCCCCCAGCCCCAAGGGACGCGTCCCGGCGACAGCTGCACGCACTGTGACGCCACCACGTGCCTCCGCCACGCATCCCACTGCCCACCGGCAAGGAACTGGACCCCACCCTCAGCCACCGCACCGAGCCCAAGCCCCAGACGCCACCGGCTGCAGGTGCCTCTCCGGGGGTCACTGCTGCCACCCAGCGAGAGAAGGAGCCCATGCTGTGACCCTAACAGCAGTGGCACACAGCGGACCAGCGACTGCCCAGGAGCTGACCAAGAAGGGGCAGGGAACTGGAGTTAGCAGAAGCAGCAGCCACTGCCCCACCCCACCCCCTGGAGCTGACGGCTGCACTGAGGGAGAGGACCCCCAGGGCTGGGACGGACCCCTCACCAAGGGCACTGAGAGCCCCCAGCACTGAGGCAGGGGCCCCCAGGGCAGCTCCAAAGAGCTCCAAGATGGAGGCAAAGTCCCCCCAGGAAGACTCCCCCCAGGACGGGGGCCCAGCCCCCCAGGAGAGCCTGAGAGGTCCCAAGAGACGCCCACCCAGGGCAGAGACCCGGTCCTCAAAAATGCCCCTCCCCCAGCTCAGGGAAACCCCAGGGCGGAGCTCCCCCACCAGGGCTGAGAGACCCCCAGACCAAACGGAGCCCACCCCCAGGCCTGGGACACAGCCCCCAGGTGGGCCCTGCCCCCAAGGAGGAGCCTCTCCACCCCAGAGCCCAAACACGGCCCCCAGGCTGAGCCAGCCCCCACGGAGGCACCCCCACCCCAGGGCTGAGGCAGAGCCCTAAGGAACCCTCCCCAGGAAGGCAGGAAAAGAGGTAGCCCCCTGAGAAGCAACCCCTCCTTGGGGCCCCAAGTCCAACCTTGGGAAGAGGGCAGGGCAGTGACCCCACCCCACCCCCACCACACACACACACGGCCAAGTTAAGTCTGGAAAAAGAAATTCCACACCGGCGAACTTGCTAGAAGTCCGACCTGGGGCACTCACCCCAAACCACAGCTGCTCAGGAGGGGAGGCGGCTCACGGGGACCCCGGCAGAGCTGCCCGAAGGTGGAGCTGGGGGCTGGGGGCTGCTGAGCGAGCGGCTGGCGCCCACGTGCTGGGAGGCAGGGCCCCACGTGCTGGGAGGCAGGCCCCTGGTCCCCAGTGCCCCCTGCTGCCTGAGCCCGCCTGCTGGCCAGGGGGGCCCTTAAAGGGCCCAGCTCCCTTTCCAGACAGCGGCTCAGAAGGGTGCGGGAGGCAGTGAACGCATAACCTGCGCTCCTGGGACAACAGCAACAAAACGATACGGGAAAGCCAGACCCAGAACAGCACAGCCTGTACGTTTCAGAGAAGGAACAGGCAGGGTAATCTACAAGGACAGAATTCCCACAGCAGGTGCCGGGGTGGGGGTGGGGGCATTTTACTGAAAGGAGGCAGGGCATGAATTTCTGGGGTGAGGAAATGCCTCTCATAAACACTTTTATAGTAATTTTTACTTATTCACACTTAGGGTGGTGATGGGTGCAGGTATATAAATAAATTGGTGAAAATCCTTGTAACTGAACTCTTGAGTGTCTCATTGTACAGAAACTACATCTCAATTTTTAGAATTTTTACTTATTAAAGAGGTAGAGAGAGAGAGAGAGAGAGAGAGAGTGCGCTCCATCCGCTGGTCCACTCCGCAGAGGCCCATGACGAGCCCTGGCTGGGGCTGAAGTTGGCAGCTGGACACTGAGCAGAGGAGGCTGGAAGCCAGGCAGCTGAGCCGTCGCCGGTGCCGCCGGGGTCTGCACCAGCAAGGAGCTGTGTGGAGCCGGCGCCCAGGCTGCCCCAGGTGGAGCCGAGAACTGGCACTGGATGGCGAGGCCGCCTGCCCACCCCCAGCCCTGTCTCCCGAATCGTTGGTTTCCAGTCCAGTACCACCGGGTACCACCTGCCCGCGGTAGGCAAACATTTTTGATTAAATGAAGGCACACGAACTGCATACGCGTTTTGCTTCCCTCGCAACAAATTTCTAAGACGCCCGCAAATCAGCCAGCTGCTGGTGGGGTCTCTCTGGGGCGTCACAGCTTCAGGGGGGCGGAAGTCTTCTGGGACCCCGGAGTGACCCGTGTGCACCGAGTGCTCTGTGCTCGGCGCTGTCTTTCCAAACGCAGTTACTTCTATCACCCCACTTGACAGATGAGGAGACCGAGGCACATCTGTCTCCATGCCCACGCTCTTACTCATGTAGCAGCTGGAGTCCGATGGTCGGAACTCCAAATCCCAGCGGTTCCACTTACCGACTGTGGGTCCTGAGCACGACAACTGGTCGCTCTGAGCCTCGCTCTACCCATCTTCAAAATGGGCACAATAATATTCTCTACTTGTGCTGTCTTGCAATACAAATGAGCTTATCCACGTACGCCAGCAGCATCCAACAGAGCCAGCATGACGTCATCAATGCCAAGACACACCTACATTCAGCATCTCTGAAACCCGTCTCCCCGGACACAACGGTTCTGACACACCTGTCATACCGATGCAAAGACACACCTGGCAAACCTCTTCCTGTTGGGCCGGCCAGGGTTCAGCTGCTGCCTGCAAGGCCGACTCTAACATCGGATACGAGCGCAGGTTCAAGTCCCGGCGGCTCCACTTCTGAGCCGGCTCCCTGCTAAGGGGCCTGGGAAAGCAGCAGAGCGTGGTCTAAGCACCCCAGTCCCTGCCAGCCGCGTGGGAGAATGGATGGCGTTCCAGGCGTCCAGCTGTGGCCTGGCCCAGCCCCAGCTGCTGTGGCCATTTGGGGAATAAACCAGCAGGTGAAAGATCGCCCTCCATCCCCGCTCCCACTCCTCCCCCTCGCCCTCTGCAACTCTGCCTTTCAAATAAATAAATAAACCTATAGCTTCCATTGCTGTCACTTCTATGCTTGAGTAAGTATCAGATAGCTCTTTCAATCAGAATAAAATAAAATAAAAATGGGGGGGGGGGCTAAGAAGGCACGGCGCCTGCCTGTAGGTGGAAGCCACTTGCTCTGGTAGGATGACGTAACCCTGGTGCATCCTGCAGCCGAGAGCCGGCCGCAGGGTGTGAGGAGCCCCGGGTAGCCTGTGTTCCTGCCTCTGCCTCCCCCAGGGATGCCTGGACTGTTACTCCCTATCTTCCTGCCTCCCTGGGAGAGAGTGAGGCGAGGGAGCTTTGCTCGGTGACTTTGCTGTGCCTTGCACCAAGGAGACAGCAATATTCCCACCCCTGGCCCAGGAGGGCTTGGGCTGGCCAGGGAACTCGCCTGGGAGGGTGAGCACAGGACAGGGGCACCGGATCCAAGATGAAGCCGTAGGAGACACAGCAGGTTTCTCCCAGCTGAGTAAGCGCAGAGCAAGCCCCCCGGCCCAGCCTGCAGCCCCCAGCGGAGGCGGTGAGCGAGCAGGCACTGTGAGCCCGGGCGGGGGGGGGGGGGGGGTAATCCTGAGATGTGCGGAGCTTGAAGCGGGCACTGTTTGTTAGGCAGCAGTAACAGCACAGCCACCCCCACACCCGACACCTGGGCGGGGCGGGCGGAGAGGTGCGAGGGAGAAGGCGTGGGCTGGGTTCAGACCCCGGCCCGCACAGAAGAGCTGGGCCGCCCTGGACGAGTCATCCGGAGTCGCTAAATCTGTTCCCTGAGCTGCACACGTGTGCGGGGACCTCCCAGAGTCCCCTGAGCTGCACCTGGGACTCGCAGTGTGCGGGGACCTCCCAGAGTTCCCT